CATCTTCTTTTAATATTTCCTGGATCATTTAATATTCTGCTCAAAGCATCCTTTATTACAGCAACTCTAGGTTTAAATTTGTTCTCAGTTCCTTGAGCTTAAGAAATGCTGAGCAAGTTCGGCCCTTTTGATTTTCTGACTCTAGCTCCTCGCACATTTCGTTGTAGTATTTTGCTTTGTCATTCCGAGCAGCCTTTTGGAAGATAAAGGAGTAGAAAAGTGAAAAGATTTGTTAATTTATATCTTGGAGTTTACATAAATTATGACAGATTTATTTTGAGCTCATTGTTCTCTAGCTGCAAGAATGTGTGTACAATCCTAACTACTTTTTTAATCCTAAAAAAAGATCATTTTCCCCCCTCCTTGATATGTTTAGTTTTTAATGCATGTAGAGAATGAAATCAGTCTGTTGTTAATCTTTGTTTTAACAAGGACATGTACACTAGTGAATTAAACCATACAATTTCTTTAAGAGTGATTTTGGACTATATGCACTTGTTTGTTTTTTTTTTTGTTGTTGTTGTTTTAAATCTTTATTTTATTATTTTTTGTGCATTGTGCCATCAAATCAGAGATGACTGGTACAGGAGGAGATTGTCCCTCCTTCTCCAGCAGAGCATCTGGTGGATTCGAACCAGGCACATGTGGGATTGCAGTGCAGCTTCTTGCTACTAGGCCACCAGAGCTCCCTCTATATGCACTTGTTATAAGCATTTATTGTTGTTCTTTAAATCTAACAAGGCATGATGGTGGAAAAGCAGTTAAACGTTTGACCTCTAGCCAAAAGGTTGGCCGTTCAAACCCAGTCAGTGACTTTATGAGAAAAAGACCTGGAGGTCTACTTTGAAAAAGTTTATAGCCTATGAAACCCTATGGGGCAATTATCTATCATAATATATCACTATATTACATCAAGTAAATGACACTCAAACATAATAACATTAAACTTAACATTTTAAAATTAATTTATATGGGAAATGGAACATATAGACATGTTTTTCAGAAGTTTACTGTCAACAGCATTTTCTTATTAATTTTTAGGCAAATCAGCGGTGTGAAGATTTTTAGCGATTGCAGTTTGAGTGACTTTGGAAATTTTGTTTCAAATGTGGGTGCCAAATGTCTTCAGAATAAGCCACAAATGCAAACCCGTCCTCCAGTTTGTGGCAATGGTATCTTGGAAGGAAATGAAATCTGTGACTGCGGTCCTGAAGCTGTAAGTCTGATAACTCAGAAAGTTGGCTAATAGCTTTATTCTTTAGTTTATATTTTTAGAACATAAGTATTTAAATATTGTCTATTTTAGTACCTAAAATAAATGTTAGGTATCTCAAATAAGTTAGTATATTTTTGGTATCTCAAATCTTAGTGCCACACAGAACATAGAAGTTGAGAGATCTCACGAAATTCATACAAGAAAATACTGTCTAGATTTTCTAGGCTGAAGAGTATTGAGGAAGTTCAAAATATACTGCAACAGAGATTTAATTGGTGGGAAAAATTTAGAGCCTAGGTTAATGTTTACATTCAAGGCTAAGTATTTGAGATCTTTTGAAACCTCTGCTTAGATTTTGAGCATCTGATAAAATGTTTTACTGAAAATGAATAAGCTAGCAGCTTATAAAATACACCTTGTTCTGTAATGTAGAGTAGGAACCAACCAATAGCTGGCTCCGTGGTGGATTTACTGAGGCAGTTAATTTCACAGGAAGAGATTGCCCATTCTTCTTAGACACAGATAGTGTGTGTTAATCTGTGTTAATATTTGCAATCTGAGATTGATTAGTTCTGAGTAGGATGCTTATAATTCAGTATTTGCAGGATTGCATTAATATAGGTACTCAAAGCTCTTCAAAGGAGAAAGATGGGTACATTTTTTAGGTGATTTATATCCTCTGAAAACCTGCTAGAGGGTCAGCTATAAGTGGGTTTCAACTTAATGACAGTGAGAAGATAAAATGAGGATGTAAAATGATATAACCACTATGGAAAGTAGTCTGGAACTTCTTAAAAAAGTTTAAAATTGACAACCATTTGATCCAGCTAGCCCACTACTGGGAATATACCCTAAAGAAATCAGAGCTGCTACACAAATAAACTCCTGTTTATTGCAGCATTATTCACTATGTTGCTGTTTGGAGCAATTGAATTGAATACGACTGGTAGCAATTCTATGAACAACAGATCTAAACTCTGTCCTATCCTGTGCTATCATCATCTCTCATATACATGAGTCCATTGCTGTAGTTACAGTGTCAATTCATCACATTGAGAGTTTTCTTCTCCTTTGATGACCTCTACCTTTACAAACATGATGTCCCTTTTTCAAAGAATAGCACCTCATTGAAACAAGCTCGAAGTATGTGAGAAATAACTTTCTAGAAAACCCTGTGCATTGCAGTTTCACTCTGTGTACACGGGATATCCACAAGGCTGTTCTGCCTCAATGACAACTGGTTTGGATTTTGAGTAAGTGCTTTTGCAATAATTTTAATTTGCATTTTCTTGATGATTGTGATGTTGAGTAGTTTTTCATATCCTCATTAGTCATAGTTTCTTTTTGTGTCTGTCTAAATATTTTTTGCCAATTTTTAAAGTAGGTTGTGTGCCTTTTTAATATTGATTTATTAATTCTTTATATAGGCTGGATACCAGTCCTTTGTCATATTTGTGTATTATAAATATTTGTTTTCAACCTATCATTTAAGGTTTTTCCCCATTTATTAACATTATCTTCCAAGTAGCAGATATTTGCATTAATTTTTTTCCATGTCTTATTTATTGGCTTGCACCAATCTTTCATATACATTGTGTTTTATGCAATCATTCATCCACATTGTGTTTAATTAATTACTATTGATCTATGCCCGTTATCACTCCACCTTCAAGTCTTCATGAAATCTTTCTTACACCTTCACTGGCCATCACATCCACTAACTTCTGCTAGCCAAGTGATTCCCCCTTCCCCTCTTCCTGCTCTTCTTCTCTGCTTCCCCTTTCCCTTTCGAACATTTACTTTTTATGAAGTTTGGTTTAACATTTGTTCTTTCTATGGTTTATGTATTTTGTATTCTGACAAATTTTTATTTGGCTAAGGTTGTGAATATTTTACATTGTTTCCTTCTAGAAGTCATATAATTTTATATCACCCTAATGGTGCAGTGAGTAAAATGTTTGCTAACCAAAACTTTTTATGTTTAGTCTATTTTGAGTTAATTTTATGTTCAGTGAGATATTAAGATAGAGTTATTAATGTTCATAAGAATGTAAAATTTTCTAGCAGTATTTGTGAAAATGAGGTATCACTCATATTGAAAATAAATTACTACATGTGTGAGTGTGTT